TTTTTTAAAGTATTTTTTATTTAAAAATTTATTAAAATAATATGTTTTTATTTTAAAATTTTATTTTTGACACTAAAAATAATTTAAAAGGATTTAGATTTTCATAAAAGACTTTTTGACTGATGAACAAGGTAAACGTGATTATATTTGAGTTTATAAAACCACGACATTCTTGCCGAGTCAATGTTTATTTTTTCTCAGCCACTTTTCACTTTCAACTTGTTGCATGAGAGCGTAGGGTTTCACACGAGACGCTCGCACGACGGATCGGGTGGGAAATGTCAAAAAAACAATACCAAATGGAACTTAATTTTGTATTTATGTTGATGCATTCGTTTATTTCTTTTATTGCATAGTGCCTTTTATAATAATAATAATAATATAAGATGGCAGAAAAATCTCCAGTAATCTAAATGGTGTAGGGGTGCTTTGCCGTGGAAACCATCACTGTTCACGCGCAAACGAATCATCACGAGGGCCCCTTGTTTATTTTTTGACCTTTCATTTTCATATTTAAAGTTTTATTTTAGACTAGTTAATTCTGATTTAACATCGATTGCTTTTGATCTCTAAGTAGATAATAAAATTGAAAGAACAAAATTACTATAATGAAAAGGACGATTTTGGTGTCTGATATGTTTTCAATTCAATTTTGAATACAGCAGTTTAATTTTTTTATTCCTTAGTTCTTGTTTTTTACAAGAGATGGAAGGAGGTTATCGAATTTTAGCAATAAAAAATAATATTTTTGATATTAATCTAAACTATTAAAATAATTGATATTTATGTTAAATGATTCTATTTAATTAATGGAATTTATATTAAATATTTTTTACATTTAATGATCATGAAAAAAAATGAACTTATATAATTTTTTTATTTTGTGTTGATTTTGGTTTTTAAGACAGTTTTTTAATTTTTTTGATGTTATAAATAAATTTATCAAGGTGTTATAGATTAAAAATAAGTTAAAAAATAAATTTTTAGATAAATAAATTTTAATTTTAATTTTTCAATCACTATAATCACTTAAATCTAAAAAAATTAAACAATACGTAGTTAGCTTTTATAAGCAATAAATCATTTGTTTTTTGTTTTCAACAGACCCTGACAAAATGGACTAAGCAAGCTACCCTCTCACTCGACAGACCCAGCATAATTTCTTTTAATATGGTTTTCTTCTATATATAATTTTAAATTTATAACTAAATCAATACCCCTTCTCTCTTTCAATTTATTTAAATATTCACTTTTAAATGATATTTTTTTTTATACATTTAGATTTTGTAGATTTTTTCTTATTCATCTGTATTTTTTTATCTTTTATATAAATAAATTTCTAAAAAATAAAATATTTTTAATATGTGTGATTTTGTATAATTTTTTTATTTTTATTTTATTCAATTAATTTAGTTTACGTCTTTATTTTCATTATTTTTTATTTAAATAAAAAATTATTTTAATAAATAAATTTAGTAAATATAACTTGATAGATTTTTCAGTTTGTGATATTAAATATCTTGATTTATTTTTATATCTTAATTTTTTTGTTTTTTTAGTTATTTTATATTTATTTTTTTATTTGTTCACACATATAACGCTTGATTTTTTTAATTATATATATGCATAATTTTTTAATTTTTACTTGAAAATTTCTTAATTTCAAAAGGTGTTCTTGCAGCAAATCATAAGTCAAATTAGTTAAATATTTTAGTATATATCACGTGGGAAAATGGCGTGGAAGATGAAGCAAAGGAAGACATCTCACTACGGGCATCAGGAAAGCCGGTCAATTTTGTTCACTTTAAAAAATACATCCAGATGTCAATTGTGTACAGTGTCAACACCAATTAAAAATCAACATCTACATTTACATTGACAAAATAAAATAAAATAAAAGAGGTGGTGTTCATAAAACATATTTTGTTGCCATAGTTTTTTCTAATAAAAAAATTATTTTCATATTTGATTAGAAGTGGTCGAGCTTTTCTAATTAATATTTTTTTAAAAATTAATTATTTAATATTAAATTAATTATAAATTAAATTTTATAATTTATTTTACGTTGTTTTTTATGATATTATCATGATCTCTTTATATAGATCATGAGTTTTTTGATATAAATCACGTATACTTTAGTCATTTTATCATGTTGTTTTTTCAAAATGATTTTTTTTTTCAGTTTCGTTCTTTGATAATGAATTGATTGAGAATTGAGTTTCATAAGTTATTTTAATTTATTTTTTATGAGATTATTTTAATTTCATGACCCGTGTCGTGAATTCGAGAGATTGACTTGATTATTTATTTAGTTTACTTTCTACAAAATTATTGCGATATCATGACTTGGATAATGAGTTTGGCAAGTTAAACTTGTTGCCTAAGTTGTTTAATTGTGTTATTTTTTTAAGAAATTTTTATTCTTTAATGTTAGATTAATTGAGAATTAAACTCTGTAATTTGTTTTAATTTATTTTTTATGGAGCAATCTTATTTTCACGATCTAGAACGCAGGTTCGAAAAATTAACTTATTTTTTATTTTTTAATTTCATATCTCAAACATTGAATAGATTAGAAATTGAATTTTTTTAATTTGTTTTAATTTATTTTATATTGAGCTTGAATAGCGAATATAGCAATGTCAACTCATGCTAATCAAGATCAATCTAATATATTTTTATTGTAATGCTAAAAAAAAATGTTATTTAATTATTATTTTTATGTTTTAGTAGTATTAAAAATAAATTTTAAAAAATTAAAATAATATATTATTTTAATATATTAAAAAAACATTTTAAAAAACAATATCTATCACACTTACAAATAGATACTAATTATTTTTCTCAACCTCTTATTTTTATTCCAAGTTATTAAAAATTTAATTTAGATTTGTTATCTTATATAAATTATTTTATAAATAACCAAATTGTTTTAATTTAACCTCATGCATCTTTAATTAAAACAAAATATGACTAATTTAATACAATGAAATCAATTAAGATTTTTTGAAACACGCACTTTTTACAAAGTAATTCTTGATTTCTAGTTCATTTATTTTAGTTTCTAATTAAGTATTAAACTTTAATTTTTTTCAATCTGATTCCTAAAAATGTTTGGTATAATCTCTATTGTTGCGCTTGTTTAACAAATAGGTCATTAGTCTTGAATATATATATTTTGTTTAATTTAGCTTTGCATTAGCCTTCAAACCTTATATTTCTTGCAATTAAACTTATGATTGCATCAAATAAAACTTGTAAAAATTATATTTAGAGTGTGTTTGGTCTTGCGATAACTGTTGTGGTTGTGGTTTGAAAACCGTTGTTTTATAAAAAGTACTTTTAGTTGAGGTTAGTTTAAAAAAATAGATGTTTGGTTAAAACTGTGGTTGAAATTGAGGTTAAA